GCTATTTTTGAATAATTAAAAGATGAGAATCTTAGGGCCTGTTTACTAACAGAGATATTTTCCTGTTTTCTATTTCTGTTTTTCGTTCTCCAATTTTCTGTTTTTATTTTTCAGTTTTTCTGTCTCCAATTTTCTGTTTCTATTTTTTAGTTTTCCATTTTCAAATTTGAAAACATGTTTATCAATTTTTTCACACAGTTCTCCAATTCCACACCCTTGACCCCTACCTCTACTCTTACCACGATCTTACACTCTACCCATACTCCACCACAACCCTTCATACCCACCCATACCTACTCGTAGGGGTCGGGGTAGGGATGTTATGGGTGGGGTGGGGTAAGGGGTATGGTCGGGGTGGGGTGGTAAGGTCTAGGGGTAGGGGGTTGGGTGGGTTAGGGTTAGGGTTAAGGGTGGGGTAGTGGGTAGGGTTGGGGTAAGGTAAGGGTAGGGTAGGGAGTTGGGATAGGGATGGCGGTAGGGTGGGGTCAGGACCAGGGTGGGGCCGGGGTAGGGAAGGGGGGGTAGGGTGGGGGGGTAGGATGGCAGTAAGGGTGGGGGGTAGTGGGTATGGTTTGGGGTTGGGGGGTAAGGTAGGGGTAGGGTAGGGAGTTGGGATAGGATGGCGGTAGGGTGGGGTTGGGACCAGGGTGGGGCGGGGGTAGGGAAGGGGTAGGGTGGGGGGTAGGATGGCGGTAGGGGTAGGATGGCGGTAAGGGTGGGGGGTAGTGGGTAGGGTTTGGGGTAGAGTAGGGAGTTGGGATAGGATGGCGGTAGGGTGGGCCTGGGGTCCGGGTGGGGCCGGGTAGGGTAGGGTGGGGGTGGGGGTAGGATGGCGGTGGGGTGGGGCCGAGGTAGGAGGCATGTGGTAATGGGTAAGGTAGGGGTAAGTGGTAATATACGTGGGGTGGGGGTAGGGTGGGTCGGGGTGGGTTGAGGTGGTAGGGGGGTGGCGGTAGGGTAGGGTGGATCGAGGTGGGGTCGAGGTGGTAGGGGGGTGGCAGTAGGGTAGGGTGGATCGGGGTGGGGCCGAGGTCGGGGCATGTGGTGGGGGTGGGGTAAGGTCATTATAGGTTAAAATGGGTACGCGGGGTGGGGGTTGGGTGGGTAGGGTAGGGGTAAGGGGTAAGGTACGAGGATGGAGTTACCGGAATGGAATCGACATCGGAGCGGGACCGGACCCACCACTAGGTGTAAGTATGCAAATTCATTGCAAAGGCACTGGAGCATCTGCGTTTTCCAAATTTGGAAAACTAGTAAAAGTCACTTCTCCAAATCATTAAGGAAAAGAGAGACATGTTTCATTTTTTCCGTTTTGGAAAACGATTTGGTAAACACGTTTTTCTTTTTTCCTTTCTCCAGTTTTCCAGGAATTTCTTTGGTAAACACGTTTCCTGTTTTCCGTTTTCCAGTTTTCCAGTTTTCTGGAAAACTGGAAAATATTTCTGTTAGTAAACAGGCCCTTAATTTTCCATTTTTCAGTATTATTATATTACTTAATAATAATAATTAGAATCAAACGAGACCTTGATTTTGCATTTGGAATTGAGGCTTTGATATTAAGTATTAAGTCTACATGAATTACATTCACAAAAAATAAGGCTACTTGAATATATCATTGATTCATTTATGCTAGGAAGTTTGTTATAAATTATAGAGATGATAGAATAAAAGTAGGACTGGGTCTTGGAACCGTAAAACCAGGAAAATCGATCCTAACCGACCCGAATTATCCAGTTTGATTCAGTTCCTATATTTTTGGATTTCTGTTTTTCGATTCGGCTCCTACAGTATTTGATCGGTCCGTTTCTGGTTCGGTTCCAGTTCGGTTCCGGTTCCTAGGCAGGAACCGAACTTTTTATACATTGCATGAGTAATCTTCATTTAAGGTTCTGCTGTGTGAAATTTTTTGATGAAATTTTGTTAGTTTTTTTCATCAAGTATAGATTGTATTCAGCAAACTTCAACTTCAAATTCAATCGGGAAGTCAGTTAAATAAATTATTGAAAAATATTACACCAATATTTTTGAATATTTTATTTAACTTACATCCCAATTGAATTTTGAACTGAAATTTGGTGGATAGAATTTACATTTCATTTAGAACATGCTCACAAGATCTCATCAAAAAAATTCTACTCGGAAGCACCTCAAATGGTGGTGACCAGATGACATTTCGGTCAGGAAGTTATTGTGAGGAATATTGTCTTGTATAATATACTCCCTCCGTCCCTTAAAACTTTGTCATCTTTCATTTTTGGAACATCCCTGATGGAGTATATGGCCCAGGAACCCCCGGCCCATAGACTCCTACTTTTCCTACACAAGTCCATTAAGCCCAGAGAACAACTCAGGCCCAAGTGCGACAGCCCAAACCTCAAAGGAGCCCAGATTACACACTGGGGTGTCTTCGGCCTCATTGGCCGAAGGCTCCGAAACTCACAAGATAGCCTTTTTGAGCATAAGAAGCTACTGGGAGAAAACGACGGAAAACATGAGCCTTCGGCATTATCAAGCCCTCGGCATCAGAGAAGCCTTCGGCTGAACCAAGCCTTCGGTCACACAAGGCCTTCGGCTACGCAGGGGTCCTTGGTCACATGGAGCCCTCGGCTACACAAGGAGCCTTCGGCCAAACATGCTCAATCATCGAAGATTCCTTTACAGCCAACCACCGCATTTAATGCCACGTCACATCCGCCAACCGCATTCAATGCGGTGAACGTGCCGCTGCCGGTGCCACCCGGCTGATGTGACCCCTCGGCCGTTGGATTACTGACACGTGTACTCCCATCGCATTTATTGCTGCTATAAATAGCAGCCCGTTTCTCCTTGTAAATGATCCCAACTCCACACGCTGAGTTCATTTAATAAAATCGACTCTCTCTCCTCCTATTTACTCTGACTTCTCTCTAGTTATTCTCGCAATAACCCCTCAGATAAGATACCCCCCGGGTAGACTATCTGTCAATCCCAAAAAACTTTGTCACTTTCCCTTTTACTACGTAATAGATATTTTGTGGTTCCTATTATTTTCTCTCCTCTGCACAAATCTCAACCACACAATTTTTACTTTATTATTCTCTGGCCGGCCAAACTTGACAAAGTTGTAAGTGACGGAGGTAGTACTATATATTGTGAATCACATCAATCCGAGTATTTGTTATTTTACTACTTTAGTCCACTTTTACATTTATTGTTTGTTTGTAATTGTATTTGTTATTTGAGTTCAGCTCAAAAAGGAGTTAATATTCTATTTTTTTTAGTTAAGGAGTTAATATTATGTTGATTATGTTATTATTTCTTCATAGTAAATTACTAATATTATCGATCAGTTTATTGCTATGTACTTTTTACTTATGGTGCAATACTAGTATAAGAATATTATTTTGGGCTTAGACTATCTGCTATCGGATGTATACCTTGGAGTTATTAACTTTTTTGCTTGGCAGCGGATGCCTATTTTTAATCTTTATGTTTTTTGTTACGTCTACATTTAATGTTTGCACTTGAATTTTTTTTTGATATTTGAACAGTGCGATATCATGTATGTACAATCTAATGATCATAATTTCTACAATTGTATTCATGATTTGATATTTGAATTATTTATGTAATTAAAGGTAAAATGTATTTATTTTGATAAGAACCAAACCTATTTTATATGATCTAAAACGAATTTAACGTCCACAATTATTAATACCATTCCATCGAATTTTATTAATAGAACTGAACCTGGACCTTAGACCTAAATAAAAGCATAAAATGTATGGGGGAAATGGTCAATAAAGAGGTCTAATCTTACTTCAATACCATTAGTAAATATTAATAATATGTTAAAGAGGTCCCTACTAGAGATGTCAATTGTGACCGATCCGACAGATACTCGCACAGAACCACTCCGATCAAAACGGGGAAAACCGCATTGACCGAGTACAGGGTGGGGAATACCCGTTTTGTCTTTACGGGTAACGGGGCGGTTACGGTTTTATACATGCCCGCCCCATTACCTGCCCCGTTTATTTTTTGCTATATTTATTACTACCTCCGTCCCAAAAAGATTGACCAATTTGACTTTTCTTGGTCAATGGTGTTAAAGTTAAGACAATGATTTTAGGTATTATATTTATGTGTAATTTATAAATTTTATACTTTCATGAAAGATTTTTTTAAATAAAGATAAGCTCATATAATTTTTATATTTCAAATAATTTTGTATTAAAAGATATCATTGGTCAAAGTTGATAACTGTTGACAAAAAAAAGTCAATTTGGCCAATCTTTTTGGGACGGAGGGAGTACATTTTAATATATTATTTGTACCACAACTAGTAAAAGATGATATTTTCTATTTTCATTGTGTATATATAGATAATAAATGTACTAACTATAGTGTACTAAATGAAAGTTCATAATATATTTTAATAGTCTTGTTTGATTATTATCAGTTTTTTGGTGATTAATTATTTTTCATATTAAGTATCTTTGGGTTCAAATTATTCTAGATCACCTTCTTTCTCGTCTTGTAGATATACGAAACTTTAAAGTATTATTTTTATATTAAAATATAATTGATTCGTTTAATAAAGCGATTACCCGCAGTTACATGCGGTTATACCCGTTATTCGTTGGGGCGGTTATGATTTTGATAAAATTACTCATTGAGTAATAGAGCGGTTATGGGACAGGGGAATTACCCAACAGGACGGGTATGGTTATAGGTAAAACCGTCTCTGATCCCTACGTCCTACTAGAATTTGGATGCTCGTTGTTGAGACTTTTAGGTGCAAGTAATTGTGATACGGACGCAGTATGTGACAGTGAAAGGAGGGTTAGGAGGGAAATCACCAAAATTGTGGGCAAACTGCACACGCCATAATTTGCGTGAAAAAGGCAATTTACGTACCCATTTTCACTTCTCCATTTCCCCTTTTCATTCATTCATAGCAATAATAATAATAATTCAGTGATATTAATCCATTTCTTCTCGGAAGCTTCCCGCATCCCAATAAATATAAAACTCTGCACACCCCAAACGCCCCTCTCATTTTTGTTTCTTTCTATCTCTCTCTCTCTCTCCTCTGTTCCTTTCTAATGGCGGATTCTTCTGGCACCGTGGACACGTCGGCACCTTCCACCTTCTCTTTCTCAACCACCTCCTCTTTCACCGACCTTCTCTCTTCCGATGGATACCCGACCGCCGCCGCCGCCTCCAGCCGAGGACTTGCTGATCGGATAGCCGAGAGGATCGGGTCTGGTGTGCCGAAGTTTAAGTCTCTTCCGCCGCCGTCTCTTCCGCTCTCGCCTCCGGCCTTCTCTCCCTCCTCGTACTTCGCTTTTCCTCCTGGTTTGAGCCCCAGCGTGCTCTTAGACTCCCCTGTTCTCCTCTCTGACTCCAACGTATGGCCTCTCTTCAATCGTTAATATGATTATTCGAATGCTAGAATTTTTTAGCTTCAGTTCGATTATCAATGTTTTATCAATGGTTGGGATTTGGCTGGGATCAATTTGCTGATTTTGTTATTTTGTATGTGTTGTGTGATCAGATTTTGCCATCTCCAACAACTGGGACTTTTCCAGCTCAAGATTTCAACTGGAAGAGCCTTTCTAGGACAACCGCACAGGAAGGTGCTAATAAGCAAGAAGGAAATGGATATTCAGATTTCTCTTTCCAGACCAACCCGGTTTATATGGTGTGTTTGCTTAGTTCAGTTTTTCACTTCACTTTGGTTTTTGATGGTTTTATGCTTTATCTTTCTATTGGGAACTGGAATGTGTAATCTAGTTTATGTAAAGGAAGAGATCTTAGCAGAAAATGGTTTAACTCTATATTTTCTTGTCAAATCAAATTAAATTACTTTTGTATTAAATACAACTAAACAGAGAACTCTTTGCATGCTTATTTGATTGGCAGTTCAACATAGGATAGAGTAATTTTGGGAAAGTATGTATGGAAAGAGTCATCTTTAATTATTTTTTCCTTTTTACCTTTAGAATCAACAGAGGGCGAATTATCAAGAACAAAAAACCAAAGATCTGAACTCATCAGATAAGGCTTTGGTTGAATTCAATCCTATCCTGAACATCCCTCCTTTGAACTCTCAAAGTAGCGGTGGAAATTATTCAGAGTTTAGTCAATCTTCCCAGCCATCACAATCTGTAAGGGAGCAGAAGAAATCCTCTGATGACGGATACAATTGGAGGAAATATGGGCAGAAACAGGTGAAAGGGAGTGAGAATCCACGTAGTTATTACAAGTGTACATACCCGAATTGCACGACGAAGAAGAAGGTTGAGAGGTGTGTGGATGGACAAATTACTGAGATTGTCTACAAAGGCACTCACAACCATCCTAAGCCTCAGTCTACTTCTAGGAGATCGTCATCCTCAACGGCATCCTCGTCTTCAGCCTTGGCAGTTCAACCCTATGCAGCACCACCACTTACCAATGATGTTTCGGAACAATCATATTGGTCCAATAGCCAGATTGATTCGGTTGCCACGCCTGATAACTCTTCTATCTCTTTTGGGGACGATGAATATGAACAGAGCTCTAAGAAGATGGATTCAGGGCGTGATGAGTATGATGAAGATGAACCAGATGCAAAAAGATGGTTAGTTGTTACATCTGGATCACACTTTTAGTCTCCGTTTGATTGCCATGGTTGGCTTATTCTGTTTATCCACCGAATAAGTAGCTTTTGACTTATTTGGCTTAATGGATGTAACCAGAAAGTTAAACAGATATAGCCAAATAATCAATAACTAAATGAATCCTTATTGTATGATATTTTTTTATTTAATTGATGGAGTTCCTAATTCGTGAACTTGTTTTGCAGGAAAGTTGAAGTCGAAAGTGAGGGAGTTTCCGCACCGGTGAGTAGGACTGTGAGAGAACCTAGAGTTGTCGTTCAAACAACAAGTGATATTGATATTCTTGATGATGGTTATAGATGGAGGAAGTATGGTCAGAAAGTAGTGAAAGGAAATCCCAATCCAAGGTATTTCTAAAGTATATATTCTTGCCAGTTCAGTACCTTGATATTTCTGCATATCAACCAAGCTTTTTATATTAAACACCAACTCAATTGAATCCACCAGCTAAATCAGAATCTTAGTTCACTCCATACCTAAGTCGTTTCTATCAAATTCTACTCTTACCAAATGGTCTATTTAGTAATAGTGATTTGGATCAAATGGCTGAATTCGCTGTTTGTATGAAAGTTTTGGTAACATATAGCTCAGCCAAATAAGTAAATGAAAGGCTACTTGTTCTGCATATTAGCAGAAAAAAACTCAGATGGCTACCAAACAGTCTTAGGCCCCTTTTGGTAGCACTAATTGCTTATTCTGTGTATGATCAGAATAAGTAGCTTCGACTTAATTGGCTGAATCAATTTTACCCGACACTTTTCCGTTTTGGCCCGACAGCCCTCATGTTGCTAAACACACTAAAATTTCTTCAGGAGCTATTACAAATGCACGAGCACAGGCTGTGCTGTGAGGAAACACGTGGAAAGGGCATCACAGGATATACGTTCAGTGATAACAACCTACGAAGGGAAACACAACCACGACGTTCCAGCCGCCCGAGGGAGTGCGGTCCACTCCATCAACCGTGGCGGAAGCAATGGCAACAACAATGCAGCCATCACCATAAGGCCCTCCGCAAAACCTCATCAATCTAACTATACAGTTCAAAACCAGGCAGAAAGTCATCAAGCACCCATGAGCTTTCCATCGGGAATGCTTCAGGGCAGGGGTGATTTCGGGTTTTTGGGATTCGGAAATCCGGTGAATAACTACGGAAATCAAATTCCTGAGAACATGTTCATCTCTAGAACCAAGGAGGAGCCCAGAGATGATATGTTCGTGGAGACGTTACTGGCTTGAATCAAATCTGCTTTCTTGTTCTTTGGGGTTGATTCATTTGTTTATTCTCTTCTGTTATGATTTTTGTATGTAAAAAAATAGGAAAAGCTATACTTCCCAGATCATAACTTATAAATTAGTTTTTCTTTATAGTGCAAGAAAATATGGGTATAGAAAGTTGCTGAAACTCAACTCCGGGGGGGGGGGGGGGGGGGTATGAGTGTAAATCCTCAATCTTGTTGGTTGTACTAAAGGGGAACGTAGAATCAAAAAATAAAAGGTAGTTGGTCTTTATACGGAGTGTAATTGAAATACTTTTTGTTGACAATTTTGGTTCATCTTTTTCCTTTTTTCTCCCATTATAATGATGATCGGTGCAGGAGTTTTCTAACGAAATGATGTCAAGGAGCTCTCTTGCTTTTTACTACTAACACGGTGCATGTTTTCGGTTGACTTTTGAATTTTAAACCTAGAAGTCAAAATTTTCTTATAAGTTACTCCAATCCTCGTCTTTTTGTTGTTCTGTGGGGTGGTTTGATTTGAAGATGACACCAAAATAAGTGACATGAAAAACAACTTTCTGGTTTTATGTTATTTCCTTCATTCCCGAATTATTTCAATTGATATCTTGATTTTCTTGAAGTCTTAGTCTTGTGGGGAGTAGGAGTGGAATAGTAGAAACAAGTTCAAGAAAAGGGAGGAATCAAGAGACTATTTTACAACATTGTTTTTGGTTTATCGGGTTTTATTTTACGGTAAAAAAGGGCTAATAAGCCAAAAACAATGTTGTCAAACGGCCTCTTAATTCCTCCTTTTTCTTGAACTTGTTTCTACTATTCCACTCCTAAAACAATGTTATCAACCATTTTTTTCATCAAACACGTAACTTTTGCTTTCCGCGCTGGATTGTGTAACAAACATAAAAAGAAAGGTTAAAGAATCTCTTCTAGCTGTATTGATTGAAGTTACTGTGGATGACCATTTTAGCTATTTTTACATACTACGTATAATTTTTCTTTATTATATTATTAAAATATATTTTAAAAATAATTTTTTCTTAAATCAGCAGAATCAGCCAATGCAGTCACTTCAGCCAGAATTTCATAAATTTACGCAGAATCAATCAAATCAGCGGATTTCCGTGCTACTAAACGGACTCTAAATTTTGCATCAAATCATGGAAATTTTGTTTTTCATTAGGACTTCTTTCACGTGACCACATGTTTTAAAGATGGAAGTGCCATTCCCTTGATACTTGAATCGTGATCTAATTCTGTGTGCTCTTTCCTATGTTATGTTTGATTTTTGTTCGCAAAGTATAAAGTAAAAATACTCATGCACATTCTTATACGAAGTATTACTTTGTTGTTCACAAAGTATATATAAAGCAAATAATACTCCGTATTCATATACATTCTTACACTCCGTATTACTCTTCTTGTCTGACTATTATGAATTCACATCTTGTAGGCCGGACATGTAGTTGCATACTTGCATCAAAGGGTAAAGATAACATCCAAACGCAAAACCTAGGTTACTATGAATATAAAATTGGTTTTTTACTGAGCCTTAACAATTAACAATGATATTGATTAAAGAGAGTAAACTTGTCTTTTACTTTCACATTCTTTTTGCTGGAAAAATGGTGTATCGGTTTATATTCAATTATTCAGTACATATATGTTTTAGTACAAAACAATTACACTAAGAGTTGTCGGTCCAAACCAAATTAGGGTAAACCAAATTAAACCATTTCAGTCAAACTTAGAGTTTTACAACATTATAAGTCGCCTTGTTTAATTAAGATGAAATCAAACCATTGTGTTTAAGTTTAATTGTGCTTGAAAATGTTAGAGCCTTTTAAGGATGTTTTAAAATGGATTAGTTTTAGTCTTATTCTAAATCTAAACAAAACAGACCAAATCAATATATGTAAGTGTTTTGGGTTAGTGTTTTGAAATACTCTCTCCATCCCGATTTGTAAGGCACTTTACGGTTTACAATGTTTGACCGACGATAAAGCAAACAGATCCTTGTCCGCACTTGAATTGTTTTTTAGAAAAAAAGAATTACATATTTAGAAACTACATTAAAAGCTTTACAAAGTCACAAAAATCAGAATCAAATTTGATAAAGATTTGATATATAAAGTAAGAGATTAAGAGTGATTTACGTTGATCAAGTGAATAGAAAAAATATCTTACAAAATGAGACTGGGAGAATATGACACTTTCTATTAATTTTATTGTCAAACAGTTAAATTGCTAAAAATCTTCTGACACTCCGTCAATTATTCCATTAGTGAAACACGCTAACTGAATTCACTATTAACAATCCGCTAAGAGTCTAACATAATTTGTTATCTGCTAATCCCTGAATGTCAAACACCATGTAAAAACACCCTAACTCCCAGTAAAGTCTCACTAACAAGTCTTTGGCATACTACAGTAGCTGGGAAGGTTGGAATGGGTCAAAGATTGCGGCTTCGCGGAACGCACGTTGGTCAAAGTTGTTGGCGCTGGCCCCACCTTCCAAAACAACTACCGCGTTCCAAAATGCACAGGCTCAAAGTCCGCGTCACAGTGTGAACGCGTATCTCCCAGTAACGTGGACCACTTTTTTTTTTTTTTTTTTTTTTTTTTTTTCCTAATCTATTTTTCATATTGGCTAGCCGCCTAAACTTGTCCTCGAATTTTTATGGGTGAGCTAAGAAGGAACGAATTAGGAAATTATGATACGGAATGGATAATTGTTATGATTGTAGATCTTAATTTATTTAAATCGAGTTAACTTATCGTGACGTACGACTGTCATCATTGTTTAAATCGAGTTAACTTATTTCTATCCCAAACATTGTCCTATCTTAATTAAAGAGGCTCTATAAAGTGGGGTTCGTATGGTAATAGAACCCACCCCTCACCAAGCGCCATTACTAGAATTTTTAGATGACATTCAAGCTAGCTCATTTTGATTGAGCGTAGGAAAAGTTAGAGAAATAACTAAAAATCCAAACCTATGAAATCATGTGCATGTTACAGCTCATGTGTTCTGGATAGACTAGACCTCTAGTGTGCGTTATCAAAAGATTTATCATTACTAGACTGAAAGAATCAAGGTGATTTACACTTTAATTTTATACGGCTTGATTCGGTCTCTTAAAACTTTGTCAACTTTCTTTTTTAGTTGTCTTATTATCTTTATATCTTTCTCTCTTATGTAAACTTGTGCTTCTAGTTAATTCTTTAGCTGCACAAATTTTAATCACACAATTTTTTACATTATTAATTCACGTGCTGATATAACTTGACGAAATTTTAAGGGACAACAATTTAACCTGATAAATGTCATATCAGGTTGATGTGTGGGTACTTAAGGATTTAATGTTTGGGCATTGGAGGCGTCATATCACATTGAAATAAGTAGGCCAACAATTTAATACCAAATATATTTGAGCCCTTTATGTTTGAGCCCTTCATGTATTTATTATACTACTGGCAGAATCATATAAAATCATATAAAGCCAAATTTTAAAAAAATTACTCTATATGTTGCGCTCGACCAAAACTTAATTACTCTATTGGTGTATGAATTATTAGTAGGTATGCATACAAATTTGTATGTAGATGCCAAGATTGGTTAGAACACAGAACAATATTGGAGGACCGAGGTCTTCTTCAACCTCTCTTCCACAGTCTACTACGGAATACGTAGTATTATGCTTTCCCTTTTTGCATTAGTTTAATTGTTTAAAGGTAAAAGGGTTGTCCATAAATAATACTCCCTCCGTCCCGCTAAGATTGTCCTATTTTACCTTTTCGGGAAGTCCCACTAAGATTGTCTCATACCATATTTGGTAAAGATCGTGTGACTTTAAATCATTCTAACTTTATTCTTACTTTATCTATTTAATATCAACCACACAAACCTACTTTTCTTAATAATCGTGTCACCTTCTCTCGTCCCAATCTTAGTGGGACGGAGATAATGCTACGTATAGTATAAAAATAAAGCTATGGATAAATATAGGATCACATTTAAAAAATTCCAAAAAAGAGACTAAACTCCTACTAGTGACAATGATCAATCTTTTTTTTGGGTACAACGAAAATAAAAAACGGGAAATAACAAAAGCTATAGTCTAATAATTTCGAGTCCATTTTTGTACTCCCAAAGAAGGGGAGCTAGCTCTTCCGGTGCCTCTTCAAGAATAGTCATTCCTTTGGGATAGGAATGAGCCACATTTGCTAAAAAAAAATCAGCGCATTTGTTACCCTCTCGTAGGGAATGATGTATGCCCTTGATATGAGTTGGATTAAGAAGAAAGCGGCAGTCTTCGATGACAGGGTCCACCGCATCCCCTTCAACATTAAAATTCTGTTTAACAGTACATACAACAGCCTCAGAATCAATTTCAGCCACCACGTTGTGTAGCTCTTTGTCATGCACGAGAATTAGGCCTAGACGTAGGCCCCATAGTTAAGCCTTGAAGCTGCTCACCGGCCTAATATTTAGCACAAAATCCGTGACCCAGTTTCCCATGTGGTCTCGAACAATGCCCCCAGCTGTTGCTGTGACACCGCACCCGAACGTCCTTGAAAATTCAATTTAAAAATTCAAAGTTTATGTATTGAATTTCTGATTCCCAAACAATTGTAAATGATTGATGTTTTACGTAATTAATGATCGATTATTATACTGTTCGAACTCGTATATTAGTGGTGGGCTTGCGAATACTCGTTTGGGCCTTATTAATAAATAAAAGAGCCTAACATTATCTAAATAGTGATACATAACGTTTCAAGACAAGTTGAGGAAGGGCGGGCGGCCCAGAAATTATTTTGGGCTCAACCCGCTAAAATAGCAAGTATTCGAGAATGGCGTCGTAGGCCCACTCGGGGGTGACCCACACGGCTGGTAGTCCAATAATATGGATGACAAATGTCGAAATAAGTGATAGGATGATTTGAGGTGAATACAAATGCCTATGATCCCATCTTTGACATTATTGAGTTAAATAATGGGAGTAGGATTTTTCCTTCTATAATATCCATCAAGTAAATTATTTAGATGAGCCTACACATATTGGAGATCAATAATGTGATGTAGGAAGTTGACTTGTTCTAAATAAGTTAGGATGAGTACAAAAAGACATCTTTGACAAAAGATAAAACAATAGAACCCATCTTCCCATTTTTGGA